TCCAAGTTAGAGCAAAGTTCAAAATAAAAAGCAAACTTCCAGGGTCGGTTCGTCTGCTTACAAAAAAACCTCACAGTTCAATTTAAGTTGCAGCAGTGGCGGCGGCTTCTAGCTTCGCCGAAGCGAAGGCGTCCTGAATCGCGGAGAAGCCTCGGGGCTCCGGAGGAGTTCTCACCTACATCGTCCACATGGGACGACTTGGGAACTCAACTCCTACCCCGGGCAGCTCACCTATCCCCTTATGCCCAGGGGAAGGGTACAAGCCGTTTGACAGCTGATGCTAGCTGTCAGAACGGCTTTTACGCTGAAACAGGCGGGAGGCAGCAAACAGCTGCGTCCGACGAGGTTGCCTGCCACCGGAAGTCCCCCAGCTTGGAAACCTCTCCTTTTCCCCTCAGCATGGCTGGCTCAGGAATTCTGGGAGTTGAAGTCCACGAGTCATAAAAGAGCCAAGGTTGCCTACCCCTGGCATAGGGTGTCCTGCTTGAGGAGGGGGCTGAACTAGAAGATCTCCAAGGTTCCTTCCAACTCTGCTATTCTGTTACACTAAATAATTTCAGACAGGTAAATCATGGGGAAAAAGACCCCCAATTCAGGTAGATCACAGATGCAAAAGTCAATTTATATCTTGGATTCCAAAAAGATATCCTCTTGGGTTTCTGAATTTATCTGCCTTGCAATTTCTCAAAAAAAATTCTCTCCTATAAAAATAAACTTTTTTTTGCTATACTTTCATTCTTATTCTTTTTCAAAATATTTCAGAAAGTATTCTAACCTCAACCAAGGAAGCTGATTATCTTTTCTTCTATTATTATTTTTTTTGCACAGCCCTGCAGAACCTAGATTATATCAGGTTACAAAATGACCCTATTTCAAGATCTGTCTTGCAATTGTCCATTCTGCACCCTTATAAATAGGATATAAGCCTTCTTTTGCACCAGAGGGCCTTAATTTTTCATCTCTATAACATAACTTAAATTGTCATAATGGGATATTTTAGAGTCTTAAGGAACAAAATCCAGTTTATCATATGTGCAAAAGGATCTAGTCCCTACAAGATTTTTGCTAGATCATTTCTTGAGCTCTCATCTCCTAAAATGGAGTTATTAGTTAAATAACACATCTATTTAAGATAATTAAGCTGCTACCACCTGCTCCTGAAGGGATAGATTTACCTGGAATCTGGATGAGGCAAGACTTTGAATTAAATGGATCCAGTTTCCCCCGTTAATCCAGGTGACTGTTTCAAATATTTTGCAGTATGCTGCACTGGTGTAAAGCCACCACCAGAATAACAATAAATAAAAGAGTTCCACTTTAATAAGTACAACAAAGTGATTACTGAGTAATAAAATAGTTGAACTAAGTTATAGAAATTCTAAATATTCACACAAATGCTAGGAATTACTAATCAGCAAAACTGACAAGCAAATACATTGCTGAGGTAAAAAAAAAGTGAACAAATGTAAAACGAATCAACTGACCAAAACAGCACTTAAAAAGAACACAAGTAGTTCTCAACTTACGGCCTTTATGACCTAGAAGACCTCAAGGTCCTTCCAACTCTGTTATTCTATCCTATTCCTTCCTTAAATTTACCTTTCCTAGTTTTCAGTTCAAAAATTCCAAAAGATTGCGAACTGATTTTATGTATAATTCTCCAGCTTCTATCACACAAAGTAGTAGCTTATTTGAATCAATCATCTGTAGAAGGGCTGCTTTCTCCTTCAGTAGATGTTTCAAGCAGAGGTTTGGCATCTGCTGTAGATACTTTAATCTGGATTCACACACTGGTTGGAATTTATAGCTTAAATCACCACCTCCAATTCTGGATTCTAAGAAAATTCTCCAGATAATTACAGCACATTTTAATCTAGAATGTGTTATGATTAAAAACAAAACGCCAATTCTATACAGCTGCCAAGAAACCATAACAAGGGTGACAATCTAACATATGTTATAACAACATTGTTAAAATTGTTTTGGTCTCCGAATCAAAGGACAAGATGATACCATTCCTGTTCCATGTACAGAATCTGACTCGACTGGTTGATTAAATCTTTTGTTAATATTGCAAAGGACAACGTTCTCCACTAAAATCTATGGAGATTCTGTCATCCAGGTCATGGCTGTCCTAAAGATGCTTTTTTCAAAAGGCTTTTTGAAGAGTTTTTTCTTGAAGACGTTTCACTTCTTACCCAAGAAGCTTCTTCAGCTCTGACTGAATGGCAGAGAATCGAAGGATTTATATTCCTTGCAGTCATCTAGTCATTAGCCCTCTTTCTGAGAGTTGTTGAGGCCACTTGGAGGTTTATCTGTTTCCTCAGAGTCACTTGAATAGTTCAAATGGGTGTGGAACTGTGGAATTTGGAACTGCTGAAAGGACTGTGTGGTAAACAGTGGAGAGGTGGCATCATATCCTTCCCCCTCTGCTGAGAGAGGGCTATTAATTCTTAATGTAGATGACCTCTTTGACCCTTCTTTCAAACCAGAAAGACTACTAACAACCAGATGACTGTAATGAATATAACCTTCAATTCGCCACCATTTATTCAGAACTGAAGAAGCTTCTTGGATGAGAAGCGAAACATCTTCAAGCAAAGAACAAAGTCCAGCTGACTTTTGAAAAAAGCACTTTTGCAATCCTCCACTATGTTTGAAGGCAGACAACTAGCTTAATGGACAATACTTTGCTATCATCTCTTGGTATCGGCTGTCTGAAGCAATTACCACATTCTGCTTCATGGTAGGACATGAAGTTGAAATCAGCAATGGACAAGAACAATTATTGACTAAATTGCTCAGCTTGAGCATCACAATGAGAAGAGCACAACGATTTTCAAGTTGAAGCTTTGGGGAACCATATTTAATTCAAAAAAATGATTTGATCCAGAACTGATTATTTGACTCAAATCATTGAATTCAACTGATTTCATTTAAAAAGGTCAATTATTAAAGACAGGGTTTTTTTTCATGAGGCTTTCAAAATCAGCCAATTGATTTGGGGGCATCCAATTCAATCTAAATTGTCAGTTAATTTGGAGTTTCAATCAAACCATATTTGAACTGCATCTCCAAATCAAATCTTTGCATAATCCTATTGTCAAAAAACAAAAACCCAAACATCTCCAATCTGACCCAATGTCTAAATGTTGTTTCCCCTTTAATTCATTTTTTTTTAAATTGAGAAATAGAATGTCAAGCAAAGTAGGGCCCAAAGATTCACACTGAGCTTTATTAGCTACTGTATATTGTCAGGAAAATAAGAAGTTAATATACCGTACAGAATCTTGGAAATGAAATCAAGCAAAACTCTGGAACTCATTTATGAGATAATTCATTAAGCTAACTATCTAACATTCTGAATTTAATTACTATATTACCTTTCTCAAAATATAGGACTAAAAAGCTAACCTTTTTTGTAAATAATATTCTGCTTGTCATTAATGTATTAAGATCATTTCTTTCCCAGGCCTATAGTTAACCTCTGAGATCTCTTTTACTTATATTATCAAAACAAGCAAACAAACTTATTGTTCACCTCTTACCTAAATTGTCATCCCATCAAAAGTTACTGCAATAGCTACTATTAGGAAACTATTTGGCTGCCCTTAGTTTAGCAGTCTTAAGCCCTTTTTTTCAATTATCCTAGTAACTTCACTATCCAATTGCTAATAAAAAGCCACCTTCATATAACACCTTTATTCATATCTGGTAAAACCTACAGATACCTCACAATGCATGCTAAGCTTGATTAATATTAGTTTTCATTTTTTTAAATTTGGTTTTGTGAACACAAACCACCTGGCACAAGCTACTGTGCAAGTCCAGAAGAGCGTTTAAATCAGTAATCAGGTAATAATGTCCTGTCAATACAGCCATAGCACAGGTAGTCCTTGACTTACAACCAAAATTGAGCCCCAAATATCTGCTATTAAGTGTAACAGTTGTTAAGTGAGGTTTTTGTTTTCATTTTATGATCTTTCTTGTGACATTGTTAAGTTAGTAACATGGTTGTAAAATGAATCTGCCTTCCCCTTTGACTTTGCTTGTCAGAAGGTTTCAAAAGGGGATCACATGACCCCTGGACACTGCAACCGTCATAAATATGAACCAGTTGTCAGGTTTCCAAAATTTGATCATGTGACCATGGGGATGCTGCAATCGTAAGTGTGGGAAAACAGTCATAAGTCACTTTTTTCAGTGCCATTGTAACTTTAAACAGTCACTAAATGAATGGTTGTAAGGCGAGGACTACCTATAGTCTTTTCCCCAATTCCCAACTAATGGCTGATCAGCTAAGTTGTATGAAAAAATAAGCAGGGTTCCTCCTCGTCCCCAGCATCCAATGACCACCACAGGATGAATACAGATAGTCCTCGACTTACAACCATAATTGAGCCCAAAATTTCTGATGCTAAATGAGACAGCTGTTAAGTGAGTTTTGCCCCACTTTACGACTTTTCTTGCCACAGTTGTTAAGTTAGTTTGCTGCATTTGCTAAGTTAGTAACATGTTTGTAAAGTGAATCTAGCTTCCCCATTGACTTTGCTTGTCAGAAGGTCACAAAAGGTGATCACATGATTTGAGGACACCGCAATGGTCATAAATATGAGTCAATTACCAAGCATCCAAATTTTGATCACTTGACCATGGGGAGGCTGCAATGGTCGTAAATGTGAAAAATGATCATAAGTCATTTCTTATAAGTGACATTGTAATTTTGAATGCTCATTAAATAAACAGTTGTAAGTCGAGGACTACCTGTATGTGCTATAGTACAGACTGACCAATGAATGATTGTAAAAAATGGCCAACTGGCAGTTTTACAGTTTTACACACCTATTTTCAGTTGGCTTAGCAAAAAAAAATAGGAGATGTTTCTGCTTTTAATGACCGAATCCATTTTGACCACCACAGGTGAGAAAAACTTGAACTTCACAGAGAGCAGTAAAGGAATGAACTTACCTGGATCGCTGATAAATTCATTCAAGGTTTGCCAGGTCTTTTGATCTGAAGCGAAGGTGCCGTTGATGGATTCGAATTCTGTATAATCTCGGACACATTTGTTCCTGAGGTTTCCCATGAACAGCTGGAGTCCTATGAGGGCGAAAACACTCAAGCAAAAAACGGTCAGGATCATCACATCTGCAAGTTTCCTAACTGACTGGATGAGGGCTCCAACGATGGTCTTCAAACCTAAGGAGACAACCATGAAAAGTTTAAGAGGCTGACACGTGGAAGCAGCCACCATATGAAGTACACATATAGTACATGAATTAAGAGACTACATATAAAACACCGTTAAGATATTTAAATTTAGTAGCTGGAGTTGTGCAGTGAGCCAGAACACACAGAGTTGATTGATTGGAGAGGGCTGGTTCCCGTGTGAGGCAATCTGCGCTGTGATTGGTTGCTATGGGTGTGGAGAGGGAGTTTCCCTTTTCCCCCGCCTTTTTTCTTCTGTGTGTGCCCTCATTTTTTACCTCATGATGCTTCTGCTGTAAATTGATTTACCTCATGATGCTCCTATGCTGACTATTTAGTTTAATGTAAATGTAATGTAAAATATTCAAAAACTACAGGTTCTTGTCAGCGCCTCTGAGTCCATTTGGGACACCTGCTGCACAATTCCCTGACAGACACCCATCCCAAATATTTCCCACTTTCAAATTTATAGATAGTATGGCTGTGCAATGTTTCAGATTCAAAGGTAATATAGCACCTCAAAGCATGTAGGACAAGAACATAGCATCTGTCTGCAATTCCTTAAAGCAGGGGTCTTCAAACTTGGCCCTTTTATGACTTGTGGACTTCAACTCCCAAAATTCCTCAGCCAGGCACACTGGCTGAGGAATTCTGGGAGTTGAAGTCCACAAGTCATAAAAGGGCCAAGTTTGAAGAACCCTGCCTTAAAGCAACTGCATTTTTCCTTACAGAGCAAAAGAGATCCCCAATAAAACAATTCCCACCACTGCCACTACTAATGAAAGATTTCAAGTGCCAAGCCTAGACAAAACACTTTGAAATTATGGCAATAAAAAACAGTACAACAAAGTTAGGTGAGGAATCTAATTGCTTTAAGACTGACTTGCCCTGATTTTTTTTTTGTTCTTCAAAGGGGCATCTTCTAACTGGCTCTGATTGTTAAAAGTAGTTTCTTCATATCTGCAGAAGCCACTTCCATTAAACCTGAGGAACTAATTAAGATGGTCCAGACCTGCTTTAATGGCCTTCAGAATGAACCTGGCTGCACAAAGGACTTTGCTACACCAAGGTAGATTACCCTGCTTTGTCAGATGAATTTCTTTGCTAAGGAAAGTCCACAGGCTTAGTGGCTATTTATATCTATTAATCAATTTTGCCTTGTATTCCTGACCTATTTCAAAGAAGATAAAAGCTAAGAAAATGGCATTGTGGAATTTCTTTCCGATTCTTTTTCCAATCAAATCCTAGAAACATTAAGATTTGCAATTCTGGATCGACAGGATTCCACAATTCAGTGTTCAAGGTAAATACTGAATTTATTTATTTTATTTTTAATTGACTTTTTAAAAATCTATTTTAATCTATTTTTTAAAATGTTTATATATATATTCTTTACTTTATTTATTTATATTTCTAAACCACCCATTTCCCTCTGGGTGATATACAATATAATCAATAAATAAACAACATATAAAATTAGCATTAAAAGTCATTATTATTAAATATTATTATTAACCACTTTACGCCACCCAGAATCACTTCTTGTGAGTGGGCAAATACATTCGATATACATTCGATATACAAACAAGTCTGGCTATGTGATGGAGAATGACATAGCTATTTTTTTTCATAATTCATTGCCATGCACAACTCTTATATTCTTTAAAGGAGAGTTCAAAGTGGCAGTTTTGGGGAGAAAAACCTGATTTTCTGAAAGTTTGTTGTGGAGCATAAAGGAAGAAGAGGAATAATAGAAATATGAAGCTAGTTCACTGCAGTTAACCATTTTGCTTGCACGGAAACCAACATTTTCATTGCTAAGCAAGACAGTTGTTAAGCGAGTCTTGTCTCATTTTACGACCTTTCTTGTCACAGTTGTTAAGTGAATCACTGCAGTTGTTAAGTTAGTAACCCAGCTGTTAAGTGAATCTGGCTTTCCCATTGACTTCGCTTGTCAGAAGCTCACAAAAGGTGACACTGCAACTGTCACAAATATGAGTCAAGTGTCTGAATTTTGATGAAGTGATCATGGGGATGCTACAAAGATCATAAGTGTGAAAAATGGACTTTAGTTACTTTTTTCTCTGCCATTGTAACTTCTAACGGACACAAAATGAATGGTTGTAAATTGAGGACTACCTATATTATCAATCCAATGTCTTATGCATTTCTGGCTCTTTGCAGCTATAATGCTGTAAATGAGCCCTTCACAATTTGGCTTCAACGAACGTTGATCCATGATAACCTGGGAATTATAGACAATCATAGGAATTTTGCAAAACTATTGTGGATTGAAAATTAGACTTTTCTGCACATAAGGCACCTACCATGCTTGTGAGTTCTTTTCTTTTTCTGCAATTAGCCTGATTTTCAAACAGCAGGTAAGCTTAATATACTTAAAACTAAAAAGGACAGAAAAAAAAATTCAACCTTCCAAAACGCTCATATAAAAAAAGTGGGAAAATCCACGAAAACCTGTCACTAAAATAATGAGTATAGCTCACAATCTGTTAAAAGAAAAAAAAAATGTTAGAAGTGTCTTCCCAATCACTGGAAAAAACTGTCTTAAAGGATTTTTTTTTTCCTTACAGAAGATCACAGCATTAAGGTCACTATAAAAAGCTGCCAGATCAGTTTTCTAATGAATTTTAATTGAACAGCATGAAAACAGAGATGCCAGAATAGTTATTAAGCGGGAAGCTTTTCAGACACAATTTCTAAAGTTTTGACCAGTTGGGGATTTCTCCTATTGCAGTTATGAAATAGGGGCTGCATTTTGTTCTTCAGCCTCTTGGTAGTCCCTTGCTATTTAACTTTTGGAATATGTCGTGCTAATCTATATAAATAAAAATGTAAATGTTAATTTGTTCAAAATCTTAAATCTCCGAAGGCTCTTCACCGATTGCTTTGAAATTTTGACACAACGTTGCATTCAAATACGTGCGTGTTTTTATATACCTATATTATATAGATGTCACACCTGTGACAGGTAAAACATGCTTTTTTAAAAAACAGCACCATCTGTTGGACGTAAAAGCAACACACGCTTTTACCAGACTGAGCCACAGCAACGCATGGCTGGGTACAGCTAGTAGAAAATAAATATTCTTAGCTCATGATTGAACTGGTGCTCTCTGAGCTTGATTGTTTTCCTGCAGACATTTCATTATCCAACTAGGTAACAACATCAGTGCTAGAAAGGAGAGGGGTTTGCTCTCTGTTTATATACTAATGATTTGCCCTGTCGTTGTTCTTGTTCGTTCCTTAATTTAGCAGTTGTTTACTGTTAGTTTGTTTGTCTCCATTGGTAGTTCCTTGATTGGGATATCGTTTACTTCTCTAATGTTAATCTTGGTATTAACTTCTGCTCATCTGGGTATAGATTGCCATTGTGGAGGAGATTTGATCTTTTTGTTTCCTTTTTACCTTTTTGATTGTATCGTTTGAATGGTGTGAAGATGTTGTTTCTCTCTGTGTGCCTATTGATGGCTGATTTACCTGAGTGCCAGTTTTCAGAAATTCTCTGGCATTTTTGTGAACTTGAACAAAATAATAATAATAAGAGAGCCCCCCCTCCTTTCTACCTGTGATGATGGTACCTAGATTGTTAATGAAACATCTGCAAGAAAACCACCAAGCTCAGAGAGCAACAAGAACCCCAGGGGGCATGTAGTTGCCAGACTGCCAAGTCTAGCAAATAAAAAAAAAAGGGCAGATAAATCCATCTTGGAGGACAGTAAGAATAGCAAGATGCAAGAACTCATATTGGATTGTCCTTTTCAAGATCACATTCCTGAATCTAAGGTTGGAATAGACAATCTGAAAAAAAAAAATCACATGGGCTAGGATGACTCTAATGGAACCAGAGATTGGAGCAGGGACAGAGAAGCATCAATCTGCAATTAGTGGCCAACTATTCAACTACAAATTACTAGACTGAGCTTTTTCTCAGTTGAACCTCAACACTGTACAAGCCGGGAACAGAATTTCTTAATGCAAATCACATAAAAGTCTGCTAATTACATTTTGTGTCTCTGCCTCTGTCTCTCCATTTTGCTTAGCTTTCCACCATTAGCCTATTATCTGAAGAACTAATGTTATAGAGAAAAGGCTCAAATCTCATGAAGTGGTTTTCGATCAACCTAATCTACCTACAACAAGGCTGTAGTCAGGTGCAACTGGAGAAAAATGCAACTGACCTGAACTCATTGGAATTTTATAAATATTTTCCTTCTTTCTTGGATTGACTAGCTATATGAGTGTCAACAAAATAGGCTGTAAACTTATAACTGTGATCCCTCCGTTTCTTTTCAAAGGAAACTTACTGCATGCATTTTGTCAACTCTTACATTACTTTTATCACTTGAGTCATAAGCCAAATCTGTTACTAACATTTGCACATAGTCATTGCCACGCTGAATACAGCAAGTAAAGCAGCTTTTAAGCATTTAAGGATTAAAAGAACGATGCCATCATTACAAAAACAACCTTTAAAAAAATCAGTGTAGAGGCTTAGTAAGTACATTTTTTTAAATAAAACCTCACAAGAACTACCTCTAACGGTTAGGTTTTGAAAGATGTACTGCAATACTTCTAATTTTTCAGTTATGGAGGTTTATATAGATAGATAATCCTTACATATTTTTTCTTTCACGTTTAATCTTCTGAAACATCATAATATTCCATTTTGATATTCATTCTGCCCTCCCATATATAGTATAGATAGACAAATGCAATCCTTGTACAGTATTTAGTTAAGACTCCATAAGTCTAAATTGCTATCCAGGACAATTTCTTACAAAGGAACTCTCCAGGTCACAACAGATGGGGACATATGTTTTGTCCCCACAGAGAGTAAAATTTGCAGAAAGCTGTAGTACAAAACAAACTTTAGAGGCAGTTTCCTAAACACTGCACCGATGAAAATAAAGTAACATCACTTATTATTTGTCCCCCCAAAAAAGATTTTCCACAAAAAAATTAAATCAATT